TAAAGCAGAAACTAATACTGGCTTCTCATGTAAGCAGATGTGAAAGTGTCTCAGTTTAAGCAAAGTGGTCAAAAGTGTGAATGACAGGCACAACTACAGTGAGTCATGCAAACCCACAGGGCAAAGAACATGCAAGCTGGCACACACCCTGACACAAAACCTTCAAAAATAATAACTGAGGATCACAAGGGCCAGATCCACATTACTGTCTGATTTGAAACAGGATGCAACACTCATCCATGATCAAAATTGCAGACATGGAACTAATGATCCCTTTCCGTGATCATTACCATTCAGAATCCGCGTAATTAACTCAAATCATAACCGCTATAATATGAAAAATATTAAATAAAATAAAATAAGATGTAATATAAACTAATTAGTGCTGTCAAACGATTAATCGCATTCAAAATAAAGTTTTTATTTACATAATATATGTGTACTGTGTATATTTATGTATATATAAATACACAAGCATACATGTATATATTTAAAATATATATTTACATGCGTGTATATATACAGTATATACATATATAATTTATGTTATATATAAATATAAATATTTTATATAAAAACAAAACATATTTTTCTTAAATATATACATGCATGTGAGTGTATTTATATATACATAATAAATATACACAGTGTACACACACATATATTATGTAAATAAAAACTTTATTTTGAATGAGATTAATCGCTATTAATCGTTTGACAGCACTAAAATAATATAAGAAAGGGAAATATTCATTAACGGTGACGTGTAATTTCTGTGCTTTTAGCAACACCAAGTGGAATTTTAAAAATAATGTTGTGTTCAAAATCGCATTTTGTCACCTTGTCGGAATATTCCCTACTATTTAGTAGGCGAAAAACAGTACTCGAAAAGAGTAGTATGTCTAAATTAATAGTATTTATAAAACAGCAGGCGAAAAGTACCCGGATGATTTACTACTTCCAGCGAGATTCTGAAGTGCGCATCCAATGGAGACTTTACAATCCCATGAGGCCACATTAGAAGATCTGTGAATAGCAGTGAAGCAATGCAACTGACATCCATAAGTAACATGGCAATGACAACATGGTGGATGTAGTATGTCCGGATTTCATTCATACTACACACAAACATAGAACTACTTTTTAGCAATCGCGAAGTTCTTAACAAATGTAGTAGGCCAACATATTCAGACAGCATGCAAATTCGGACGCAGCTTCATGGTAGGTACTACGATTTAAGTATAACTAATTTGTGACTGTTAAAAATATGTTGTATAATACGTGTTTAGTATGAATGTAATCCAGATGTACTACATCCACCAAGCTGCCAGTGCAAAGCTGTCTATTAAATGCGCACTTCAGCCTAGTGTTTTATGAATACTACTATTTGGGCATAGAAATTAATGCACTGCTTTTCATTTACTATAGAGAGATATGCCTGTTGTTGGTTTTCAGACATGTTTCCTAAACACTCCTCCCGTTTTCCATTGGTCAACAAACAAATAATCTGCCACACCATTGGCTGACTGAGTGTCACTATTGTGAGCTGGGAGTGAAACAAACAGCTTCAGTGTTACACTTCTACTGAAAATCAACCTACAAATGGTTTACTTGTAGTTGTCTCTATGTATACAAAGATTTGAGCATTTTAGCACTGAAAAGAATACACACTTTCACTTTAAATTTTAAACAGTGGTCACCAATGATGGGACACAAGATTGTTGCTGCACTGAAAATAGTAGTATGCCATCTACTACAGAACAATATGAAATATGACAAACATACAGGTACAGCGCAGGATAGTGGAATGAGGGCCCATGCGCATAATGTGAAGACAACAGAAGCTCGTAGTCTCCCATGATAAGTAAAGAGTGCACTCAAAGCTATGAAACACACTTGTCCACTTAACTGTAAAACCCCTTCGGCCTGCTCCGGCATGCTTTCTGAGTCCAGCTCCATTCTGCCTGTTCCAGTGTGTGTGAGTTTACCTGGCCTGGTTAGCTTATACGTGTCCAGTAACTGGACACGGGGGAATAATCCGAGCGGCCCTGCCGAGTATGGCCCACAGCGAGGAGAGTCGGGTTGCCTGACAAACGCTAAACACTAGCTTGATAATTACGGCAAGGCACCATCCATCTTTCCTCCACTCGTCAGAGGGAGTCGATGGAGGAAACACTTTAAAACATGGCTTTTGTTTCGAAAACAAAAAGTTCAAATTTTCAGAGGCTATGAACCAGTGGTAGAACCGTACGCAAAACTATAAGTCAAGACAGTTATTCATTTAATTATCATTTATTCGTTTTGACACCATTTTTGTGGCTCAATCCAATTAATTAGCTGAAATTCTATACGTTTCTTTGTATTAACAGCTCTCTAATGATTTTTGATGAATTGTAGGCTGACAAAAGGAGCTTGGCCTAGTGGCTCATAGATTACAAAACAAATGCAAATGACCAGTTAATGTAGACCAAAAATGATAGTTTCCAGAAATTATGAACCAATGGTAGAACCATATGCAAAACCATTACCAAGTCAAGACAGTTATTAAGTTACAATTAAATTTTTTGACTATTGTTTACTAATTTTGAAAACATATATTTTGTGGCTCATCCAACACATTTTTTTTTTTTCATTTTAACACAAATCTCGAATAATTCTTAATAAAATGTAGGCTAACAATATGAGGTTGGCCGAGTGGCACATAAAAATGAATCAATCAATAAAATAACCGCCAATGACCGGTCAGCGTTATTACATAACACAGAGAAATCAAAAATTGATGATAAAGCAGTTAAATAAGCAAAGTGAGAAGAAAAAACTGATAAAGAAATTGATAAGGCAAACTGATAAATAATCTGTTATAGCCTACATTCTTAAAAATAAAGGTGCTTCAAAAGGTTCTTCAAGCGATGCCATAGAAGAACCATTTTTGGTTCCACAAAGAACCATTCAGTCAAAGGTTCTTTAAAGAACCATCTCTTTCTTACCTTTTTGTAATCTGAAGAACCTTCTTTCGCCACAAAGAACCCTTTGTGAAACAGAAAGGTTCTTCAGATGTTAAAGGTTCTTTATGGAACCATTTAGACAAAAAGGTTCTTCAGTGGCATGGTGAAGCACCTTTATTTTTAAGAGTGTATATCTTTCATTGGAGACATGCAAGTAGATCGTGAACAGATAAATTGCAAGAGACAAGGGTGGAGCCATAAACATTTTTTTTCTTAAAAAGAACTGCAATCAAAGTGTTATCATATAACAATCACTCACTGGAGCGTTTGTTTAGTAGTGTTCAAGAAAACACAAGCTATTTCTGTAAATGCATTTCATTTTAGATGCTCACCAAGTTCCGTATTTTAAAAATTCAGAGTCAAGATCAAGATGTGCAAAATATTTGACTAACCTTTATGTTTAAAACGTTAATGAGCAGCATTTCTAAACAAACACATTTTCAAATGCAACCCCTTGAGTGCACATTTACTTTAAGAAATAAGCTAGATGTGAGCCTAAGGACTAAGGTGTGGAGCTTTGGGAGTGTCTCTCTTGCTTAAAGTTCTCTCTGCTTTAAGTTACTTTGCTCTAAAATGAATTTGGCAGAACAGTTTTGGCACAGCCTAGTCTTGAGGGTTATGCATGTATAATCTGTGAGTTTCTGAGCAGATTTACAGTGCTTACCTTGCTGCTGTTGAAGTTGGAGAACCCTGCAGTTTCGAGAAAGGAAGGAAGAGAATTTGAGAGAAGAGAAAATGTGAACAAAATCACTTCCTGCATTAGTTCTGGCCCAGCCCCCTTGAATACACCCCTGTCTAAACAAACAGATGTCAAAAAATGAGGGGAAAAAGGCAAAGACACAGAGAGTGACATTCACAGATTTGCTAATAGTTCCAACAAATGCATGGCCTGTTTTGACTCAATTTGACTGCAGGAAGACCTGGACTGTGTGGACTGAAAGAGAAGAAAATATCTAAAAATCACATTTAGCCAGAGAGGTTTCTCAGTTTCTCTTGTTATATATATACAGTGGGTACGGAAAGTATTCAGACCCCCTTAAATTTTTCACTCTTTGTTATATTGCAGCCATTTGCTAAAAATCATTTAAGTTAATTTTTTTTCCTCATTAATGTACATACAGCACCCCATATTGACAGAAAAACACAGAACTGTTGACATTTTTGCAGATTTATTAAAAAAGAAAAACTGAAATATCACATGGTCCTAAGTATTCAGACCCTTTGCTGTGACACTCATATATTTAACTACACCCAGTCAGTCACAAAGCATTCATGATAATGTCAGGGCTTGCCCGTGGACACAAGAAATGAATGTAATAAGCCATAGTCATAGCTAAAAATTGTTTTAACTAAAAAAATGCAGCTAGGCATGCACACCCAGTGGCTGTGACTGACTGCATTCACTCAGACATTTATAAGAGCACAGGAAACCCAGGGGTTGGACTGTGGTTTCAGTGGTTTATTGAAAACCAGAACCTGTAAGGTATAAAATGTCTGTAATATTGGCTCAGGTACCTTGGAACAAGAGGCATGTCTATGTAAAGAAATACACAAATTGCACATCTTCATTTAGCAATTCAAAATGGGAAATTTGATAACGGAGCATAGAAAATTAAATGGTGCTCTTATGGAAATCGCTCTTCCTAGGTTTAACAGGCTGTAAAACAGAAGTTCGTCCTAAACACAGCCTGATGTCACAAGATATGTGACACCAAATTGAAGTGAACAATGTCATGCAGTTCACCAATTCATTTCAATATGACATTGTGCTACAAGATACTTCTGCAAAACTTATCTTGGAGCACAATGTCGTATTGAATGAAGGATTCTTTAATGAATGTTTTATGAAAGAAAATTAGGTCTAAGCCTTAATTTTATCACTTCAAACCATTATATAGACAAAAAACGTTTCAGGTGACCTGTTCTTTTAAGGTTAATTATAACACAGCCAACAGCCATGTTAAAAAAATACAAATGAACAATTGTTTAGTCAAACTTTTTATTTTTCCAAATCAAAAAAACAAACAAAACATAGATACAGAGAATGAAGTATCAGATTGATGTCTATACAGTGGCAATTTCTCTTAATTTAAATTCTCCTTTCCTCATAAACCCGACCTAGTTATTACTCAAACTCAAGAAACCCCTTTTCCATTTATGCTTTCATGCACACACACTCGCACACTCACACACACACTTATTGGGAGCCTGGGTATAGAGTATTAACTGGACTTGTTTGAAATATCCATGAAACTGAAGGCAAACAAGGGCATTAAAGAGACTGTCATGTGAGATCTAAGGCCTTAAATCTAAAGCTGAAATATGCAAGAGCATTAAAGTCTTTTACAAGTCAACGAAACCTCCTGCAACTACCACTGTCCAGCGGAAAGAGTAAGTTGAGGGAACCACAGTAGCCACTTGCGTTCAGGTTTTAAAAAGGTAACACTCAAAAAGATCTAAATGGCTCTAATGAGTCAAATCAGTCTCTGTCGACCTCTACTGTTCAAGCATAAGACGATTCAGAATCAGCTGACGAAATTTAGGTTAACAAATGACCCCATGGTCTAGGGGCATAATGAGGCCAGATATGAAACGGTGCATATTCGAAAGCACGTCCCCCCCCCCACCAGCACTTAATCCAAAAAGCAAAGCTGACCCAACGACAATGAAGCCAGCACAAGAAAAATAGTGTAAAATAAATGCTTTTCCTCAGAAATTCACACAAGAGATTATCAGTTATCATTACGCAAATATCAGAAAAAAAGCAATTATACACTTATTATATTAAAGGGTTACGTGTGGAGGACAAGGAAGGACTCATTAGATCTGAACCAAGGTGGGTTAAAAAAAATGAACAACATGGTGCTTCTTATGTAAAGCCGTGCTCCAACCTCACTCAGAAAAAAAATTAAAAACAAAAAGGTAGCAACTTCCCACTCCACTGTGCACTCAGAGGTACAAGACTGCTGGTTACCACTTTTTTGTGCAGTTTTTTGAAATTGTAAATTACTGGGCAGATGCTGGTGAAAGATAAGGCTTGCATCTTTTGGGGACAATTGACTAGAAAGTTGATGCCTCAAATCAAGCATCCGTTCTCGCTCTCCGATTCTTAAAGAGGGCAAACACTACACAACACTTTTAACCATGCCATTGGCCGGGATACATTAGATTACAGTATTACAAGACATTTTTAATCTGCACAAAGTGTGTCAGCCATCTTTAACCTGTTTTTTAATAAACAGCCATTTTGAACCTCCTGCTGCTTTAGAAATAACATAAGTGAACTCAAATTAGACAGAAAATCAACATTAATATTTAAACAGTGCTCAGTTCTGACCTGGAATAATGAATCAAAACTGCGAGCAAGTGCTTATTTACACTAAGAAACAAAAAGCTGTAAAATGTGAGAAAGGTTAGTTTCTCCCCCTTTCCATTTACGTTATAGATATTTTTCAAGGTTTCATTTGAAACTTTTCTGATACAATCCACTGTTTTCTGTTTGAAGGCTTTTGGCAATACTTCTTAGATTTCATTTACATCCAACACTGAATTTTTGAGAGAAAGTAAGGGAGATTGAAATTACTGGATGGAAAGAGGAGGACAACAAATGATCTTTCTCCTCCAAAAGCAGTCAATCTCCTGCATCTTTCCACCAATTTTGAGCAATGGTTCTCCCTCTAAACTTAGAGCGACCAAAATGGTCAATACAAAGGCAGCCTTGTTTGGCTTGTAGTTCAAACCTCTGACAGATGCAACCACTGAAGCCTGTTTAGTGAGGCTATTTAAGAACTGTTCAAGAAGTCCAAAAGAGAAAAATCAAAAAGGATGTCACATGTGGGATCCCAGTTTCCTCAGCCTTCCCTGTAAACCACAACAACCCCAGCTGAGTGGCTTTCCTTCAGTCTTTATCCCAGGGTCGGAGTGCCAATCAGGGAAGTAGGACAAACCCAGACGCCAGCCATCTTTAATTATTTTCTTCATCGCTGTCGTCAGGGCTGATGGCTGGGCTGTAGGTTGGAGAGGTGGGGCTGTAGCCAGGAGAAGTGGGGCTGTAAGTGGAGCCCTTTGGACTAGTTGGAGAATAGGTAGGGGAAGTGGGTGAGTATTTGGGAGAAGTTGGAGAGTAAGTTGGAGAGGTGGGGGAATATTTGGGGCTGGTTGGGGTATAGGTAGGAGAAGTTGGAGAATAAGTAGGGGAAGTCGGGCTGTACTTGGGCGTAGTTGGGGAGTAGGTTGGAGAAGTGGGACTGTATTTGGGCGAAGTGGGCGTGTACTTCGGGGAAGTGGGGGAATATTTGGGGGATGTTGGGGTATATTCGGGAGAGCTGGGACTGTAGGAGGGGGAGGTGGGAGTGTATTTTGGAGAGGTGGGGGAGTAGGATGGAGAGCTTGGGCTGTAAGAGGGCGAGCTTGGGGTGTAGGTGGGAGACTGTGGGGTGTAACGTGGACTGGATGGAGAGTAGGACGGCGAAGTTGGGGAGTAAGAAGGAGATGTGGGGGAATAATTCGGACTGGTTGGGGTGTAATTGGGAGAGGTGGGAGAGTAGGAAGGTGAGGTGGGGCTGTAGGATGGAGAGGTCGGAGAGTAACTTGGCGAGGTGGGTGTGTAGTTGGGCGAAGTGGGACTATAGCTCGGAGATGTTGAGGAATAGGATGGGGAGGTTGGAGAGTAGCTTGGAGAGGTGGGAGAGTAAGACGGGGAGGTCGGGGAATAAGATGGAGAAGTTGGGGAATAAGATGGAGACGTGGGGCTGTAACTCGGTGAGGTTGGGCTGTAGCTGGGGGACGTTGGGCTATAGCTGGGGGATGTTGGCGAGTAAGACGGTGAAGTCGGGGAGTAAGACGGTGAAGTCGGGGAGTAAGACGGTGAAGTCGGGGAGTAGCTTGGAGATGTTGGAGAATAAGATGGCGAAGTTGGAGAGTAGGAGGGTGATGTGGGCGAGTAGGACGGAGATGTGGGGCTGTAGTTTGGACTGGTGGGAGAATAAGATGGCGAAGTTGGAGAGTATGATGGAGAAGTCGGAGAGTAACCAGGGCTCTGCGGGGTGTATCCACCAGGAGAACGAGGCTCGTAGGCAGGAGAAGTCGGAGAGTAATTTGGAGACAAGGCTCCTGAAGAGAAAAACAGAAAGGATTGCATTAGCGGCCTGTTTGGTAAACAAACAATGACCGTTATTATTAAAAACAGAACAACACCAAAATAGTAACCTGGTGAGGGGATATAAGGGCTAGCTGGTCCAGGGGATCCAGGAGAACCAGGAGTAGGAGACCAGGCAGGAGAATAGCCAGGCGAGAAGCCGCTGGCATCAGATGCAGCACTGGGAGAGAAGCCTGCAGCACCTGGTGTCATTCCACTTCCTGTATAGGAAAAAGAACAGAAATATGTAGACCTAGACGAGATAACGCACTGTAAATGAGGGTGGCAGCAAAACAAAACCGTATGTAGCATTTCTTCACTCACCAACACTGGGAGACCAGGCACCATATGCAGGAGTGGCTCCTGTGTTCCAGGGAGTCATGGCAGGAGACATGCCACTCATGGGGCTGGGGGCAGAGCCAAAGAACATACCCGTGGCTGTGGTGGAAAAAGCAATGATTAACTTACGGTTTAAATTTGGGGACAAAGTACAAGGTTTAAGCCTTTAAGCATTCAAAAAGAGGAAACAAGTATGACTTACGTCCTGCGACACTGATTCCAGGGATATTAGTGGGAATCTCCATGCCATACTTGCACTTCTCAGCATCCAACAGCAGGTCAAAGCAACCAGTGCCTGCAGGAGCAAGCTGTCCCAGCATGATATTCTCAGACACTCCTTTCATTGGGTCACATTCACCATGAGATGAGGCTTCCATCAACACATCCACCTACAGAAGAGGGAGGAATAACATTTTTAAACATTTCTTTACAGGATCAACCTTAATAATATTCTAAATCAGTAAATAGAGCCTCACCGTCTCTTCAAAAGAGCACTTCATCAGCGGTCCAGTGTCCTGCCTGTTGATACCATGACGAGTGATGGCCATCAAGTGACCCCTGCAGGTCATCGTGTCACACAGCAAGGCAAGATGGCGGTAGTTAACGTAAGAACCGTCGAAAGAGATGACGTGGTACAACTCTCTTTCCAGAGCCTTACGCACAGCCTCAATACCAAGAACCTGCAATTGAAGAGCCGACATTTCTGAATTTGATCTAAGGACTTAATAGGTCACACACTTTACACAAGCTATTAAACAATTCTTACAGTGAAAATCTCCACAATGTCATTGGAGGTGGTTCTGACGGGGTCCACGTCCTTCTCACTGAGGACCCTCATAAGACTGACTCCATCCGTTTCCAGGATCCACTCTTGCAAGGCTTTAAACTCTCCCTCTTCTGTAATGATGATTTTCTTCTTGTTGTCAGTCTGTGGTAGATGCATGTACACCTACAAGGGCAGAGAGTAGGAGAAATTAAACTCCAATCTCATGGCCATCTGTGAAGTCCACAAAACTTTAAACAGGTGTCCTGTGTGTCATTTTATATTTCAAGTGGATGCCAATTTGCAATCCCCATTAATCAGGAGCATGTAAGTGCCATGTGCCTTTTTTGATGAACCTGCACTGCCAGATGGGCTGTCAGGTTTACTTGAAGTGAAGTTGGAAGAAAAATACCTTGCTGATCTGTTCAATGCCTTGCAGTGTCATGTCTGTCAGCATGTTGGATTCAATGCAGCGAAGGAAGACATCGTCATCCATCTTATCCACTACCTCCTCATCCTGGGCACAAGATTCAACATTTACAATTCAACAGAGAGAAGCTCTGTTACGTGCTCAACAGTACAAATTCTAATTACCTCTTGAAACTTGTTCTCGTCACTGTTCATAATGCGGATTCGCAAAACCAGTTTCTCAGCATTGTCATCATTGAAGATGCAGTTAAGGTCATCACCAAATCCTAGAAGACAGAAAGATTAGAATAAGAAAATTACCTATCACCTCAGCGTCCATGCTGTTTGCCATTTAAAGTGTTGTATTAACATGCATTTATTCAGTGATAATCTCAAGCCCACCTGCATTGATCTTCTCTGCAATCTGCTCCATAGTCAGCTTACGGTCAGTCATGTGTTTGCGGTCAAGTTCGATACGCAGCAGCCAGGGTGAAATGCGGGTCACGTCGAAGTCAGGCATCTCATAGTACACGTTGACCCACTCCTGATCCTCAGTCACCACAGTGTTCTGTGGGTTGGGGTCGTAATAAATGGCTGTGTTGGCAGTGACCTTGCGCAGGGTTGTGTGCTCCAACCGACACAAGATATCTTTGGCCCTCTCTGCATCACGGGCCGCTTGGCCCAGGAGAAAGACGGTCAAGGAGGGGGTCTTGGGTCGCTTGGAAATGTTGATAAGCTCTTTGAGTCGAGGCACACCGAGAGTGACATTTTTGGCGGACACACCGGCGTAGTGGAATGTATTCAGGGTCATCTGAGTAGCAGGCTCTCCCAGAGACTGGGCAGCCAGAGCACCTACCATCTCACCAGGGTGAGCCTGAGGAAAACAATAAGAAAGAGTCCAGCTTCAGGCAATGAGACAACTTGATAAATGGATAAAAGATATGACTTCCTATTTTTTTTCAGGTGCATTACTTACAATGGACTGGTTAAATTTGGTCTCTATCTCTCCCAGCAGCCATTCAAAAGCCTCTGTGCTAAGACGGAACTCCTCAGTCATTCGCTTTGAGCACAGGGTGGAGCGCAGGTGGATGTTGAAGAGCAGAGTGGCATTCTCCTGGGCTTGCCTGCTTAACTGGTCTTCACCATTTACAATCACCAGCTTTTTACTTAAGTCACAAACTCCTGCATAAAACCAGAGCACATATTCATGTGCAACACGCTTGCAGCTCAATCCAATAATATGACAATAAAAGGGTGGCGC